TTTTCATTGCCATTTGCGTGGAGTATCTTTTTCCATCCCTTCACTTTCAGTTTGTGAGTGTCTTTAGGTCTGAAGTGTGTCTCTTGTATGCACATATATATGGGTCTTGTTTTTTTATCCAGTCAGCCACTCTATGCCTTTCAAATTTCTTTATTTTATTCCACCACTTCCCCTACCCCCATTCTGTCACCTGGAATTTTGCCTTCAGATGTTAATCAAAATTCTCCTTAGGAGATAGTGGCCATCTATTTCCTATTCTGGCATGGTAAAACAAGCATGAGATTTGAAATCAAAAGATCTGAACCTGCCTCAACTACTTAGCTATGTGTACCACTGGGCAAAACAGACCTCTTGAGCTCCAATTCCCTCAACAACAACAAAAAAAGGGTTTTGCCAAAATCAAGTAAGTTCTAGGACTGTAAAACGTTATATAAATGCCATTGTGATTACTAGTATCTGCTAATATTTATTTAAAAGTAACAAAATGCTGGGCACTCTGTGAAGTACTATATATTCATTTTTTACATTAATCATTCCAACAACTCTCAAAGGAAAGAGCTATCATTTTCCCCATTTTGAAGACAAAGAGACTGAGGGATAAGGAGGTTAATTTACTTATGACCCCACAGCTCATATGTGCTGAGTTGGGTTTAAAAACTAGACCTGTCTGATTTCAGATACCAAAGAAGTACTGGTTGATGATGACGAGATAAATCCCTCAGAGGTGTATTTAATGGTTGACTCTAGAAGCACCAAAGCCTTCAAGACTCAAAGAAATGGAATTGAAGTTAGAGTAACATATAATGCTATTGATATTTGTGGCACAGTAAGACCAAAATCATCTTTTCCTAATACATCTACTTGTAGGCCCAGCCTGACTTCTATGGTCAAATGCAATAAATAGTATTTCTGCACAAAGGAAAAAGTGTTCTCTCCACTATGACAATTCTTAGATATAAAAAGATTCTCATTTACAATGTCAAAAGGTGTTTTACTGTATCAAAAAGGAAGGGAGTTGTCGACGGGTTGTAAAGAGAAAAATTTTAACATCGCTGTTATTGTGGGCTTTAATATATCTGATTTTTTTTCATCAAATGATACATAAGTGCAAAGTTAGACTGATCTAAAATCACTACCAAAAGAGAAATATATTTACCTTTTTATCTGTGGACATAAGGAAAAGATTCAATTTCTTTATATATTGAAGTCTAATTTTTCTTAAAACTTTGAGTGTAGACTTTAATGCAATTTATTGTTGAGGCTAATAAAATAGCGTCTTCCAAATGTACATATTCAGGTCAGTTTGAGTCAAACAATTATAATCAAGTGACGGTATGTCATTTAAAAATATTTGTGTTCAGTGGCAAATGTGCCTTACAGAGCTTTTAAACAGTCAGAATCCTTTAGTAAGGAAAAGAAGGGACACCAATACAGAGCTCTACCACTGATCAGAGCACAGACAACAATAATTCTATTGTTAAAGAGAAATCAGCCAGAAAATATCTTTTTGGCATCATTTTTAACCTATGAGTTAATCATAAGTGATAATTTAGATACTCTAAATAGTAATAAGTAATAAAAAAAAATTAAAAAAAAATGAAGCTATCTATGCCAGAAAGTCTGTGTCCACAATACCGTCTTAACTGGCTGAAGAGTAAAGGGTGAAACAGTAAAAAATAAGCAAAGCTGGGTTATTTTGACCTTTACCTCATAGCACATACTTGTCCGATAACTCGTTTTGTCCATTTCTTGAAATGAGTTGGATTGGCCATTCTATAGCTAGTATTTCAAGGCCCTAGATGAAAATACTTTAAGGTAACATCTGATATACAAAGTTAATTCAAAGAAAACAAAAAGAATTTTCTGTCGTTCATGCTTTGTATAGAACTTTGCAAACCACAGAAGTGTCAAGAAGAGAAAAAGCTGAAAAGGAAAGTTGGCTTACCTCCGATGAATCCCACAGTGAGGTAGAGCTGTAGGACGCTGGTGCTGAAAGAAGCCGAGACCATCCCCAGACAGCACAACAGGCCTCCTACCATCACCACCGGCCGGCTACCGTACTTATTCACCAGAACACTACTTACAGGACCTGAGGTGGAGAGATGGGGAAGAAATATTTGGTGGTTGGGGCATCTATTTGTTTATTTATTTTTAACATTTGTTAATTTCAACAGTTGAGAAAGCACATTTTCATGTTCAAAGAAAAATACTAGTTCACATGGAATATAATGAAGACTTTTCAATACTTCCCAATCAGTTGGACTGTTTACCTCTATTCAGATATAAGAAACCTCATAAAATAATAAATAAAAGTGTTTAACGTATGGTTTGTTATGACCATCATCATGCAATTTTTGGTAGAAAAGTTTTTCAAGGAGACATGGCTAAAATGTCTAAATAGGTAGGCGAAAAAAACACAGGTAAATTTATGTAACAAAAGTGTGGGGATTATATAAATGACTTGTCTATGCTAGAATTTTACTTTCTAGAATATTGCGTGTGTGTGTCAGAACACACGCATATATGCCCTTAATTAGAGCTCAGTTTTTGTTCTACTATACACCACTGTGATTTTTCTTTAATATCATATTTCTCCAATTCTAAGACACCCATTGTTTTCATATCTTATTCTAGGAATAAGGATGTCTTACACTTGATGGTCCCAACAACCCCTGTTCAGGTGGCAGTCAGGGGTAGCAATGTAGCTATCATGGCCAATGCATGGAATCTGGTTATTTCTGTGGCTTGGCTGGACAATGACAATACCTCACATTTCAATCAAACCATTTAATGGCCGTTTGAAAAAGGAAGATGAATACGAATCCTGAGTGTTGTCTGAAAAATCTTCTGTTGACGCATTCCGGCGAGGTCAAGAAAGTACCAGCAAAACTTACAGAATGGGTGTAATAATTTAGATGGAGTTACCAGAGAAAACGGTGAATGTCTCTATGAAGATATGCTGCCTCACCGGCAAAGAGAACAATCTTATGTGTGAAACATGAACACTGAGGACTCTGACTCAAAAAGTAATCTAGGAGAGCCAGATACCAAATGGGAGAAGTTTTAGGAATGCCTTACTCAATTTATTTAATCTATATTTTCTGACATATACTTATGTGTGTGTCTATGTATAAAACATTCAGGAGTGATGAAAATAATCTATGTTTAACTATGTCTGAAAAAGCTCTTTTGGTAACTATAAAATAAAAGTTCTAAAGACTAAGAAAGTGCTGTGTCTTATTTTAGCGGGCAGCATTTTTTTCTTTAGCGGGGAGTCATAAAACAATGGCGCAACTTAATTGAGGCTATCTTAGATTCAATGACAGTCCATATTATCTGATGAGACCTGTCAATGCATAAATGATTAGCTTTGACATTTCCTTAACTTAAAATTATATTTCATCTGAAACACTGGGGACACTGCTTTGAGAAAAAAAACTATTACATTAGGTCAGAATTCTCAGTCCAATATTTAGCTTAAAAAAATAAAATTATTTCTAGTTAATACTGTAAGTTAAAAATTTGCTAGGTGCTGTTGCACTGCATTTGGGAATTTCTACATAGATAGTATTTAAAATACATTGAGATTCATTTATCAGTACAGTTTTATTCTTTCCTACGACTATAGTTATTATTTTCATTCTATATAAGTTTGAAATAAAACCTTGGCCCAAGAGTATTTAACATTACTCCACAATATCTTTTGAAAGGATATTGGTAATAACACATAATTTTAGAAAAACGAAAACTTGAAAATAGAATACCACATTTTGCATTTAATGCCAAACAAAATAAAACTAAAAAGAGCCATAGAAAAAATAGCTCTACAAAACCAACAGGATTGGGGGGGAAAAAATCAATGAAAACTGTAGAAGATGATATGAAAAGAACAGAATTCTGTCCCTGATATGGTAAAACTCATCTAAAGAAAATATATATATATATATTTGCATATATAATATAATGATATATATAACATATATATGATTTAGGAAATGAGCATTTTTTTTTAAAAAGCATATAGCTAAATTCAAATAGCCTTTGTGAGAAAGAGAGAGTCAGAATAAACTGACTGGCTTTGATTAATTATTGAACTTAGATGTGGATTCCTTTTCTTAAAATTACTTACCAATTCAATTCAGTTCAACTCAATTCAGTTCAACTTACCTCACATTAGTTCAACGCAATATTTCCTGAGCTCCTAATATAAAGCCAGTTGACACACACCAAGGATTAAAATAATAAAAGCATAACTATAATCCTTAATGCATTATAGTCCAGAAGAAGAAAGAATCAGCAAGTTATTTTAAGAGCTGTGATGGATGATTTGATAAATGCTAGACTAGCACAATGAAATCAAAGGCATTAATCAACTACTTGGACTAATAACAATCTCTTCTCAGTATCATTGATATTATGTATACCATCTTCTATGTGGTGCCTGGATAACTAACAAATGGGCTAACTGATTATGTGTTTGCCTAAAGGGTGTAAATTTAAATTTGAACATAGGCTATGAATCACAACTTAATTTGCCATATATATGGCAAATAATTTTATCTATATGTTGGGAAAACCACATCAAGGCTTTTTTCCATTACTGTGTTTAATTAAGGTAGCCACTAAAGAAAACATTTAGAAATGTTGGCATTCTTTTTTGAGGAAGCTTTGATAATTTCTACAGTGGCATCTGCCAAGATGAAATGAGAGCTCTAATTTTAACAAATTATTTTATTTTAAGTTATACATTTTAGATAAATGATATCCTGCAAGGATATATTTACATAATTCACCTATAATCTTTTTTCTAGCAAAAAAATGATATACTTTACAAGTGATTTATTTAGAAATAATCAAAGCTCCTTACCCCTTAATATTAAATGCTTCTAAAATGTCATAAAATATTTCTACTTTGTTATAGTTGTGAATAAAAATTAAAATTATGACAGAATAAAATATACTTATTTTGTAAAGAATCTCTAAATGATTAATATTAGCTTTAGGAGGCATCTAACATTAGACATAAAACACAACACCATCCAATATCTCTCTCCAACCTACAAGCAGCTTGGTTTATCGCATGAACAAGAAATACGAAGTTTCAAGAAAATACACAAATTCTCATACCTGTGATTTTTATTAAAGATGAGCTCACCTCACAGGTGTCTCTTGTTGATGAATCTTATTCTGAGCTCATTCATTCACTTATTTATTAATTCAATCATTCTGGAAGTTTTTACTCAGCATGCGTTTTTCAAGTAATCATGATGTTTTATTATTAGTTATGTCAAAAAAGAAAATTCTCTACTGGCTGGGAGTTATATCTGAGCCCATAGCTAAGTAGAGCAAAGGTATTGTTCATCAAAATGCTTTGTTCTATCTGCTTGTCAAACAGTTTAAAAAAATGGTGTGCAAGAACAATAATGTCTTATTTCCAAAAAAATCACAAAAGTATCAGGCGGTACCTAAATCAGATCGATCTACCCACCAATTTCTTCTGATCCAGCTTTCTAACCTATCTCAGAACTTCTAGTGTCAAGTATAATAGTAATTTTCACGCTAGTTATGAGGTTGTAAAGGAGGGCTTCATCAGAGAGCACTGTAAGGATCACAATATTGGAAAATATCGTGTCAGCTACTTCGTTGTCTTCTGAAGGCTACTTCCATCTTTTACGGTTGTGGCTCCATATAACACTTAGCAAAAGAACACTTATTTTGGCAAGGAAGCTCTTGTGGGTTCTTATAAATTAGAGAGAGTGCTTGCCCATTCTTAGAACCACTGTTGCATCTACAGTTGGTAAGACACACACACACACACAAAACAAAACACTTATTTACTCTCTATTTCATTTGAGTCTTGTTCATATAGCCTATTCTAACCTCTGAGAAGGTAGTTGCCACATACACCATTATTATTCATCAACATTTATTAAGTTATTACTCTTTGCAGGCAGTGTGCTAAAAACTGTACACGCACTATTGCATATAATTTTCATGGCAATCCAATGATGTGATTGTCTAATTAAAGCTATGTAACAGTTGATAAAACTTAGGTATGTAAAGTGTTTAGATAACTTGTTCAAGGTCACATCCGTATAAGCGGTAGGATGTGGATATGAGCCCAGGATCATCTGATTATACAACTTGTGCTTTTAACAACTATGTAGAAAAGAGTTGACATAGCAGGGCTGACACTGCTATTCTTAGGCAGGCCAGCTTGCAAGGTCGGCTCGTGGCTGGCATCTGGGAACTTGGATTTCAGAAGTGTTCCCACCATTCCCTACTTGATAAGAGTGGCTCACTTTGCCTAAACTGTTTTACAAAGAATAAGAGTGGCTCACTTTACCTAAACTGTTTTACAAACAATGTGGTTTAGACAATCTTTTTTTTTTTTTTTTTTTTTTTGTGACGAAGATCAGCCCTGAGCTAACATCCATGCTAATCCTCCTCTTTTTGCTGAGGAAGACCGGCTCTGAGCTAACATCTATTGCCAATCCTCCTCCTTTTTTTCCCCAAAGCCCCAGTAGATAGTTGTATGTCATAGTTGCACGTCCTTCTAGCTGCTGTATGTGGGACGTGGCCTCAGCATGGCCCGACAAGTGGTGCTTTGGTGCGCGCCCGGGATCCGAACCTGGGCCACCAGTAGCAGAGCACGTGCACTTAACTGCTAAGCCACGGGGCCGGCCCGCAAACAATGTGGTTTATGCTGAACATCTGCTTTCCTTCTGGGAGGCTGGAATTTCAGTATATGTCAGACAGAGAACACCTATGTGACCAGCAACCCAATAGAAACCTTAAGCACTGCGTCTTCAATGAGCTTCCTGGTAGACAGCATTCACACGTGTTGGCACAATTAGTTGCTGGAGGAATTAAGCCCATCCTTTGTCTCAATGGGAGCGGACTCTTGGAAGTTTGCACTTGGTTTCCTCTGTACTTCACCTCATGAGCTTTTCCCTTCCTTGTTTTGCATCCTTCAGTTGTAATAAATCAAACCCATGAAAAAGACATTGTGGAGTCCTGTGAATTTTACTGGTGAATCATCAAACCTGGGAGTGGTCTTGGGGACTCTGAATACAACTACTATACCAT